CAGTGAGTGAGTGACAGTGAGCACAGAGGTTCTGCACAGTCAGTGAGTGAGTGACAGTGAGCACACAGGTTCTGCACAGTCAGTGAGTGACAGTGAGCACAGAGGTTTTGCACAGTCAGTGAGTGACAGTGAGCTCAGAGGTTCTGCACTGTCAGTGAGTGTGTGACAGTCAGCACAGACGTTCTGCACAGTCAGTGAGTGACAGCACAGAGGTTCTGCACAGTCAGTGAGTGAGTGACCGTGAGCCACAGGGGTTCTGCACAGTCAGTTGGTGAGTCAGTGACAGTGATGTCCTTGTTCTCCAGAGTAGCTGAAGTTATGCTGTTTCTGTTGCTCCTTTGTTTTTGCCCCTCATGCTTTGCCTTGCAAGGCTCAGTCAGACCTTTCCTCTAGGCTTATGTGCTGCTGCCTGCCCCAGTGCAGTGCACAACTAACTGGCCCAGTGGACAGCTGGGTCCAAGGACAAGCAGAACAGTTTGCAAAGTCGTTTTCTAGACTCTTGGTGTCAGAGATGTGAGAGTCCTTTCTACTCAGCCCCGAGTACACAAAGCAGGTCCCCACCCTCTGGCCTTCTCAGGTCAGCAGTGATCACAGTGACTAGACCATGTAGGTATCGCTGTTGTCGAGGTTGTAAGGAAGACACTCCCTCCATGCTGCACCTCATGGTATCCAGGTTCCTGCCTCTTGTAGAGGTAGGACAGCTTCCCTGTGTCACAGTTAAAGTGCTCCTGAGGGTACCACCAGCCATGGGCCACTCATAAGATGCTGGGTCAGGGTCAACTTTCTTCAGATAGGACACAGGCCATCAGAAAAAATATGTCATAATTTAGCCGGGTTCCGGTGGCTCATGCCTGTAATCCTAGCTGGTTAGGAGGCTGAGATCTGAGGATGGCGGTTCAAAGACAGCCCAGGCAGCAAAGTCTGTGACACTCTCATCTCCAATAAACCAGAAATAAATCGGAAATGGCGCTGTGGCTCAAGTGGTAGAGCACTTGCCTTGCACTGAAGAGTGCAAGGACAGCGCCCAAGCCCAAAGTTCAAACCCCATTACCAACACCCCCCTTCCCCCCCCACAAAAAAAAGTCATAACTTAGGTACTTTAAATTTTCCTTTGAAATTGCTAGAGACTTTCTGGGCCTGGGTGCTGTCTCTCAGCTCTTCATCTCAGGGCTAGCGCTTTACAACTTGAGCCACAGCGCCACTTCTGGCTTTTTCTTTTTGCTTATCTGGTGCTGAGGAATGAACCCAGGGCCTCATGCATGCAAGGCAAGCACTCTACCACTGAGCCAACTTCCCAGCTTAAGAGACTCTTAAGTCTCATGTTTTTATAGACGGGCCTTCCTCTTACAACATACCATTTCTTCCCCTAATAATTGCTTGTTTTGGGAAAGGATTCCGAGCATCACGGCGGCAGCAGTCTTCATCTGAAGCCAGAGAGTCCTTGCCCACTCGGGATGTGTCTTCAGGCCCTGCCAAGGACTCTGCGCATGGTGCTGGGCTGGCAGCCACCCCCTCCCTGAAAAGGTCAGTTGAGATGCTGTGGCTTTTCCTGATGGTGCCCAGACACTTTCGAATATTCTGGCTTTGACCTAGCCCAGAGCATTGCAGAGAACATAGCCTTGAGTCTGTGAGGGCCTGAGGGTCCCTCGGTTTGAAGCAGGTCAGTGTCAACTCTGTGGTGGCAGAGGTCTCTTCGGTGGGCATGCTGTCTGGAAGGTAAGGCCTGTTCCTGACCCTGAAGAGGTCTGGAAACTCATTGGGATGAGAGCAAAAAGGGACACAGAAAATGTTCCCTGGGATCATCATCAGGGGCTTGAAGGTGAGGATGGAAGGGGTTTTTTGCCTATGCAGGAGCAGGTGGGTGGGTGAATTGAGGCAGGTACTGGGTTTGGGGTTATGTACAATCTAATTTGGGTGACAGGGCATACACAAAGATTTAGTAAATGAAATAATGCACAGTTGTTTCTGCTCATTTTAGCTGCGAGACATGATAGAGATGTAGGTTTGTAAAGCACTATGCAGGGCTAGGGTGTAGTAGCTTGAGGAATACCTTGCCTCGCAAGGGTAAGGCCCTGACTCAGTCCTGATTACCACTAAGCAACCAGGAATGTACTCCTTAAAGTGCAGAGGGATGTGACGGAGAGGGCTCTGGGGTGTCACGTCAGGCCCCAGCTCTGCCTCTCCACAGCTCCGCCTGAGGAGCCTCAGCTGTTGTGTTTTCTTGTTGTTCTCGCCTCTCATCTTTTTTCCTTCTCTCTGATGTGGTGATTTGTTTGAAGATCTACTTCATCCCCAAATTCAAGGTTAGGAAGATCCTTGACTGCTTCTCAAGATCCAGAACATTCCTTGACAGAGTATATTCACCATCTAGAAATGATCCAGCAACGACTGGCAGGGGTGCTACCAGGTAAAAAAATCCTTCTTGAACATTAAAAAATATATTACTGGAAGTGGCCCTGTGGCTCAAGTGGTAGAGCACTCGCCTTGAGCTGAAGAGCTCAGGGACAGCACCTGGGCCCAGAGTTCAAGCCCCAAGCCCCACCCCCCAAAAAATATATAAATATGTAGCTATTCCCTAAATATGTGAAATAATGAAGAGAAGAATGTTAGTATCACATTAACATATTAGCTACTGTCACTTTCTATCTTTTTTTTTTTTTTTTGGTTGGTCCTGGGACTTGAACTCTGGGCCTGGGTGCTGTGCCTCAGCTCTTCAGCTCTAGGCAAGTGCTCTACCACTTGAGCCCTGGTGCCGGTTCTGGTTTTCTGAGTGGTTTATTGGAGATAAGGCTGGCTTTGAATCATGATCCTCAGATCTCAGTCTCCTGAGTAGCTAGGATTACAGGCCTGAGCTATCAGTGCCCGGCCAGTTTCAATCTTGACAGTACAAAGAGTGTGAATGAAGGCTCTGGGCCTTTTTATATTTTTCCTTACCCTATTAAAGAAGATTTATGTTTTGGCCAGCATATAATTTGTCTAGTGAGGGTACATGTGTGTCTCTGAATCTGTGTCTGTATTTGAGTTTGAACTCAAGGCCTTGCATACACTTGGGTTTTTGTTGTTGTTTTGTGCTGGTCCTGAGACTTGAACTCAAGGCCTGGGCACTGTCTCTGAGGATCTCAGACTTTGGAGAAAGTAGGATTATAGGCATGAGCTACTGATGCCCAGAGTGTCCAGTGCTTCTTAACCATCATAATTTAAACTACTTTAGAACGTAAATTTCTTACAAAATTCAGGTGAATTTAGTGATAGTGTTTGGAAATTGTTAGATTATTCTTAAAAGACATGTAAACTGTTTGGCTCCAGTGGCTCATGCCTGTAATCCTAGCTACTTAAGAGGCTGAGATCTAAGGATTGCAGTTCAAAGCCAGCCCAGGCAGGAAAGTCCATGAGACTCTTATCTCCAATAAACCACCAGAAAACTGGAAGTTGCACTGTGGTTCAAGTGGTAGAGCACTCGCCTTGAACTGAAGAGATCAAGGACAGCGCCCAGGACCAGAGTTCAAGCCCCATGACCCGACAAAAAGAAAAAAGAAAAAAAAATGTAAACTCATTTAATCTCATTTTTATGTATATTCAGATTCTGCTTCAAAGAAATCCTGTCACCAGAAGATTAAACAATGAATAAAGTCCTGTGGCTTTAACCTGTGACAGTTCTAGTTGAGGAAAAGATGTTTTTCCCTAAGGAAAGCTCATAGTGTGGCCTGGAACACTGTCCATGCCGTGATGCCGGCCCCCGATGCAACTAAGTGTGCCAGCCTCATCGCATACTGCAGAGCCTCCCAGAGCGCTTTTTGTGACCTCAGAACACCCTTGCTCCTCCCACCCCTGAGCCATGGCTGTTTGCTATTCTCCGCACCTGTTCCAAGCAGGGAGGTGGGGAGTGGTTTCCCGTTGTTTATTTCTTAGAGTGTACAGATGGAAACATCATTTACAAGTGGAACCTTTTTTACACACACACACACACACACACACACACACACACACACACACAAGAAGGAATAAAGAGTAAGACTGTATATGTGGATGGCTTTGTTTTTTTAGTTCATCCAGTTTATTCTTGTCATTGGCAAATAAGTAAATAATAAAAAAAACAGAATTTATGTCAAGCTTTTCTGTTTCACAAATTTCCATAACATTTCCCTTCAAGTATCAACACATTTTGTGTCCCAGATTTCTGCAGCAGAAGATAATGATGAAAGTCTTAGACAATTCAGCATCGTTGTCAAGAAATGTGCTACTAATCTAGGCCCAGAGAAGGGTTACTGAATGGTGATGAATGAAGGTGCAGGTGGGCGGGCAAGCCATCATGTTCTTGGAATCGCCTTCTAGTTGAGCCTGTTTTGAGGATAATTTTCCCTTATTTTGGTAATGATTATACTTACACGTTCCAATTTGTTAGATAGTATACTTGCTTTTGCCTCCACATGGAGAAATTGAAGAAACTTAAAAGCTTTGCCTAATAACAGACATTGCATGTCTGGCACTGGTGACACATGAAGTCCAGACAGAAAAATCTGTATGAGTCCATCTGCAGTCAACCAGGAAAATGCTGGACTGAAAGCATGATTCAAGTGGCAGAGCACCAGTTGTGAGCAAGCAAGCCAAGTGAGTGTGAGGCCTTGAGTCCAAGCCCTAGTACTGACCAAGAAAACGGCATTGTCTACTTTAACAAAAGCATCTGGAAACAGTATATACTAGAGTATATGGTCTGCCTGAGCAGATCAAGGGTCCACCCATCAGTAAATAGCCCAAGTGGACAGTCCAAATCTTAGTGCTGCTTTTTCTGCTGCAGTCTCCCTCTTAATCCCTGCTTGTGGTCGTGTGGGACACTTCTTATGGCCTGTTGGCAGCAAGAGCAGATTGTTTTCTGGCTATTCCTGAGCATGGGAGCTGCCTCATGGCTGTCAGTCCAGGTGGAGTTCAGAGGACCTCACCTTAGCAAACCTTTGATGGCCTACCTCATCTTCCCCAACACTTTTTTTCCCCTGAACTAAGCATGAGAATCTTCCCCTTGACACTCTGACCACTAGAAAGGGGTAAACCCACGTCAAATGGCCTACAGTTTCAGAGATGTGGCACTAGTAAAATTGGAGGTAAGACCACCACTGGGTCAGGGGAACCGATCTCCCAGGCTTCCCCTTAAAAACAATGTTTTCTGTCACAGCTTTGAGGTCAGAACTCACTGCGCTGTTCTCTGGTGAATAGTAAACCTAGTTTCTTTTTCCTTAAAACCCAGCTCTCCGGGGCTGGGAAGGTGGCTCAGTATAGTAGAGTGCTTTGCATGCATGAGGCCCTGGGTTCGATTCCTCAGCACCACATAAGAAAAAAGCTGGAAGTGGTGCTGTGGCTCAAGTGGTAGAGCACTAGCCTTGAGCTGAAGAGCTGAGGGACAGCGCCCA